CATACATTTATGAAGGACATACGCCAAACAATTGACTCTTACGAAACAATATAAACTCCGTAAAAGAATGTATCGTCAGTTACTTTTCTTTCTGAAATTTACTGGCACTGAATATTATGTCACACGCAAAGCTTCCTGTTACGTCATTTGTTCCACCCGCATCTCTCGTTGTTCTGGCAGATGAGTGTGGCCTTCCCATTTCCTTGTTGAATAAAGACCTGCTATTTATCAGTTTTCCATCGCTTAACTAAGACCATAAGTTTCGCTGGAATATGTCACTCTTCTTTATGGGTTTAATCGGTGGAAAATGCTTCGGTTCCCGTTGGCTTTTGATGTATGACACCAATGCATCTGAATTTATTTCATCCTTTTGACAAAAGGCACAAACTAAGCCAGCATTTATGATACAAGTCTCATTATACAGACATACATACATACAAACACACACACACACAATATATATATATATATATATATATATATATATATATATATATATATATATATATATATATATGTATGTATGTATGTGTATATATATACTACATACACTCATCATATATAGATATACCTGAACCTAAAAAAAGAAAAGAAGACAAAAAAAAACAGGTAAAAATGTAATCACATTAAGAAAAGAGGCGGGACTAACCTTGCGTCTGATTGCTCCTTCCTGTTGCGGGCTGCCCGCCGCTGTTGCTGTTTTCATTGCTTGTCTTGCCATCTATCTACCTACCTACTTTCCTGGCTATATATGTACATATATATATATATATATATATATATATATATATATATATATATATATATATATATATATATATGTATATATGCATATATATATATATATATATATATATATATATATATATATATATATATATATATATATATATATATATATGTATATATGCATATATATATATATATATATATATATATATATATATATATATATATATATATATTTATATATGTATATATATATGCATATATATATATATATATATATATATATATATATATATATATATATATATATACATACATATGTGTGTGTGTATGTGTATGTATGTGTGTGTTTGTGTGTGTGTGTGTTTGTGTATGTGTGTGCGTGTGTATGTGCATGTGTGCCTGTGCGCGCGCGCGCGTGCGTGCGGGTGTGGGTGTGGGTGTAAGGAAGGAGAGAGAGAAAGAGAGAGATGGATTTATTTTTTTATTCAATATATATATGTGTGTGGGGGGGGGTATATAGATATGTACATATATGTAGTAGACGTAATTATTTTGAACAGCTAATGATAATTCTGTCATCAAATGTAAATATATATATATATATATATATATATATATATATATGTGTGTGTGTGTGTGTGTGTGTGTGTGTGTGTGTGTGTGTATATATATATATATGCGTGTGTATACACACGCACACATACACACACACACACACACACACACACACACACACACATATATATATATATATAAATTTGATGACAGAATTATAATTAGCTGTTCAAAATAATTACGTCTACTAATCTCCGCTCCTTTAATATTCACATTTCGACTATGCGAACGTGCAAATCCTCCTTATAACCTATTGGCAGTAAACCTCGGAAACAGCAAGTAGCTTCCTTCGATTTGTCTTTTATCTTCTCACATATCACCGTGACTAGTTCGTAACGAGCACTCTTACGGGAAACGGCCAGTCCTGGAGCTCAGTAAGTGCCGTACCGTGAGCGAGCCAAGGTGGGGTCTTTGGCACCTCTTGCGGACACTGTCTTCAGAAACAGAGCCATTAGCCTTGAGGAATCGCCTATGGTCTTGGACATGGTGGCGGCTTCCCCCTCCTCCAGTGCTGCGTGTGACTCTTGAGGGGCGTGTTGCGTCGATCGGGACTCTTCGGCTCGATTGAGATAGAGAGATAGTCAATTGTTGGATTGTGCAAGTATGTCAATATTGAAAAAAAAGGTCCTGCGCGGAATTGGGCGTGACTTTTTTTTTTCTTGTATCAGTGTATAGACTTCATTGGCATCTGTAAGATTGATTTGCGAAGTTCTAGCTTCGCCCGGGCCTTCGGCTATGGCCCGGCCCATCTGTAAGGGACATGCTTTCTTTTTAGATCGGTTTCACTGCGGAACTGTAATAATGTGAATATTACTATTACTCCAGCCTGTTACAAAGAAAGTATATATAGTTCAAACCAAAAGCATCAATTCTTGAAAAAAGAAAAAGAATAGAAAAAAAGTCTTCGATCAGATTAATTAATTTATTTATTAATTTTATTTATTCTTATTTATTTATTTATTTATTTTTATTAACAACTGCAAACCCATCGTTTTAATCCAAGACCATCCGGCTTTATTCGTGGAAAGATCCTATGGGGAATGATTTAAGTCTGACTTTAGATGTCATGATTTTTCATAGGTATACAAAACATTAAAAAAAAAAAATCAACTTACCTTCCACAACAATTTCCCTTCCAGCAAAAGCATTCACAATGACCCAGAAGAAAAAGTTCATAAACGGAGGGCTAAAACCACAGATCTTGCCCACGAAACACAACAGCGCGGCAACGAGGGCGAAAGAAGATGAAGTTGTATCTCTCCTCACAGAAGGCGAAGCAGAAGATACAGTCTGTGGATTAGGATCCTGTAAGCCCACGTGGTTGCAGGTAAGGCAGGTGGAATGACAGAAAAAGGGGGGAAATTCATAGAATGGAAGTCCTCCCGATGACAGATTTACAGAAAACGTGGATAGCTATTCTATCTACAGAAAACGGGAAATTCTAGGGAGACTTCATTAATCGAATTGTGTGTGTGTGTGTGTGTGTGTGTGTGTGTGTGTGTGAGAGTGTGTGTGTGTGTGTGTGTGTTTTCATTATTCCATTGTAGCAACAGAGATAAGTATGCTTTATTCCTAATAACTGTTACTGTTATTATATTCGTCGTCGTCGTATTTAATATTTGTGACAAATGGTCATGCAAGAAAACACGCACACACACAGCACAAACACATATTTCCACACACATATATGGGTGTGTGTGTGTGTGTGTGTGTGTATATGTATATATATATGTATATGTATATATATGTATATATATATATATATATATATATATATATATATATATATATATATATGTATATATATATATGTACATATATATGTGTATATATGTATATATATATATATATATATATATATATATATATGTGTGTGTGTGTGTGTGTGTGTGTGTGTGTGTGTGTGTGTGTGTGTGTGTGTGTGTGTAATTGTTTACATACAGATTTAAATGCACATATATATGTATGCATATCTAAAACTGCACATCCCATCTTCTGTTGCAGTTGCTGGCCCGCAAAGAGTGTTACTTGTTGGTCTACTGCGGAATAGCGCTAATGCAGGGCATGTTCTTCACCTACACCGTCTCCGTTATCTCTACAATCGAGAAAAGGTTCAAGCTCACAAGCAAGGAGTCGGGTAGGTCAAAAGTTTTTATTTTTTTATATAAGCCTGAAGAACTATTTATTCTAACAAAATTAGAAAGTTTTTTTGTTTTTTTTTTTAACAAATTTGCCTTGGTTGTCTTTTACGTTGTAACAAAGAATAACGCAATCAAAATTATCTTCAGGTGCCTTCCTCTCGGGAAACGACATATCCCAGGTCATCTTAGCCATGTTCCTGGGCTATTACGGCAACTTCGGCCACCGACCACGCTGGATGGGCGTGGGCGTGATGTTCGCAGCAATATCATGCTTCATGGCGCTCCTCCCTCACCTCCTGTACGGGCCCGGCCAGGAGGCTATAGATCTCGCTGAGGCTTCGAGCTCGGCCGCAACCTCACTCCTGGCAAATGTTTCGAGCGTTGCGACTCAGAAAAGTAGTGTTTCTTTGTGTGTGTTTTTTTTCATTGATGAAGAAAGTGCTTTTTGACAGATGTTTTATAGTCTTTTTATGTATACCAGCGACATTCTTGTGATTTTTTTCCAATGCAGGAAAGAACGATCTCTGTTTCTCGCCGTACGAGAGCACGTGTACCGGCGAGGACGCGGGAAATTATTCTTATTATGGCGCGGTTGTCATCTTCTTCATCTCGCAGTTCTTCGTGGGCATCGCCATCAGCGTGTTCTTCACCATCGGAGTCACGTATCTCGATGACAACATCAGCAAGAAGACCTACCCCATATATTACGGTAAGAATCACCACAGGGAGAATTCCTGAACATCCGAAACGAACACCCTCCTGCTAATAACATGGGCCGATATTACACGATGCTCGTTCTTTGCTCCAGGCATTTAAACACCTTTCCTTGCACGCTAGCGGCTACATTGCTTCTGAGGATCCTGGGCCCGGTGCTCGGCTACCTCATGGGTGGGAATTTCCTCTCCATGTGGATCGACCCGACGAAGAAGCCGAACCTGACGCGGCGGGACCCACGGTGGCTCGGAGCCTGGTGGCTGGGTAAGGTTGGAGGGCTTTCAGGCGAGGCGGGATTTAAGAAGTGTTAGAAGTTACCTTTACTTGATATATTAGACTCGCTTTTTCCGATCATCATTTAAACTGGAAATGGAAGTAGTTGGAGTTAAATTTCCCATTATGATTTTTTTTCTCGCCATTAATACGCACATCATCTTTGATTTTTAAAAAATACATATTTACCTATTCACTAATGATATTCCAGGATTCCTAGTGTTGGGCTGTGTGTTGGTGGTGCTGGGGAATCTTTTGTTCCTGTTCCCACGGAAATTACCCGCGACACTGCGACGGGAAGCGAGGGCCATCCTCAAGCAGGCACAGAAGGACTCCGAAGAAGGAGAGAACCGAGGAGTGGAATTCTTCGTCAAAAAGGCCAAGGCTAAGAAAGTGGAAAGGAAACCCACGCTTGCAAGTAAATACGAACTAGTCGCAAATTCTGAGTATACATAGAATGATGGATAGGTCTATTCATATATCTCAGAATTTATTCCTGTGTGTGTGTGTGTGTGTGTGTGTGTG